AACACCACTCATCCTATATCGATAACTTCTGGCGAGACCGCTTCGGAACTTGCGATCGCCGTCACCATGTCAAACTTTTCCGCGCTTTGGGAGTTTCCGTCGGATTGTGACAGCGAAGTTCTGTAGTCGAAAAAGTCATGGTATATCCGGCAGCAAACAGTTTGATAGAGAGCACACTTTGAGGATTCCAGCAACAACAGGGCGAAACCTTTTCCTCGCACTGGTCAGCTCTTGGCTCTGGAGAGACACCATAGGACCTCGCTTACGATTGTCGAGGAAATCCAGCTAGCAGCGACATTCTTGATAAGATCCCCTTGCAGAGATGTGCATATACTGTTCCTTGACGTTTCGTACGAGTGAAGCACATTGTTGGCACCTTACGGTAGCTTATTTAAATATACGATGGTGGACGACAGCCGCGGGCGCTTCCTCTGGCCCTTCGCTTTCTAGGCATTGTGCAAAGTCTCCCTACCCGCAGCAGACGGGCATCCAGAGCCAGGTAAACCTTTGGAGGAACAATACCTGGAGAAAGCTATAGTATCACCTGCGTATCTAGGGAATATGTTGGAATATCTTGACTTCCTCAAATGCAGCACAGATACTGACGACATCGGGTATCGAAATATGGCTTTTTAAGAACCACAAAGAGGCATTGGCTCGCGGGTATTTTCAGTCAATTTGAGGCATTGTTACTTCACACTTATAGATCAAGGAAGCGTCGGGAACCCTTCACCATCCCCTTCTGCCTACTAGTCCTCTAAGAAAATATTGAACAAAATGGAAAAGTGGTTAAGCCTTATTCCTCACTTCGTTAGTTGGTCAAAAAGCGAAGCACCTTACAACATTTTACCAGCCGATCATGCTTGTAAAATTGAAAGAAACCCAGAAAGAGTTCAACACCTTGAAGGCTGCTCATGAACTTCGGTCTAGAGGAACTGTCTCACCTGTTTGCAGACTTTAGTTGGGCTATGCGCTCTTCGGCTCTGGAAGCCCGCTGTTGTGGCTAATTTTTTAAAGCACTTCACTCCTCTCTGGGGAGAGACAAGGAAATGATTCTTCGATTGGTTCCGTTCAGCGGAGAATATTAACACGTTGACGACCGTTGTTGTGCGCGTACTGCTTCAGCTTTTTTCGTATTCTCTCATCAATAGGCATTAATCCTTCAGCGTTTTCATTATCAGTAATGAAAAATTGTTTTTTCTGATACAACTACGTACATGGATCGTTGTGGGACGAGAAACGAAAAACCCCAAATAAGTTAGGGAAACTTAGTCTGCTCCATGCTCCTTTGTGCTCCACGTGTGGTATGATGTCATACCATGTCTGCTCCATGGTATGACATCATACCACACGGTCGTCAATGTGTTAATTCATGAGAGAAACCGCTCTGAAAGATTCTCAGATACCTCCCATTCAATCATAATAGGATTCCATACTCTCTATAGCATACCATAATAGAACATTTAGCAAAATTTCTTATTGTGACCAACTGACTACTGCTCGCTTTAAAAGTCGATATATATGAATTGTTTTTACAACTCACAAATAGGAATATGTACTAACCTTGAGCAGAATTTCCAAACCACGAGCACTTCTTCTTTTTCATTGAATGCAACACCAAGAAAAGGATTGATGTTGTCGTGTACAGCTTGTTTCATCTGAAATCTAAGATTTGTGGAAACAATAGTGCAGCATGATGACATAGTATTCAGACTCGCATCACATTATTCGGTGAACCCCATCAGAAAAAGGTAAGTCCCACATGACCTGGGAGCAGAGGGCCGTAATGCGTTTCCGATAAACTCCAACAATTCTGCACTTTTTTTAAAGCTATCTACAAACAGGTGTACTATTCGCAGTCGACTATTATAAAGAGCCACGGTCAGCACCCAATTTGGTGGGTTGTAGTTGACTATTACATTGTTGGGAAGAGAATTGAGTGTTTGGAAGGGAAACTCTGACTTCAAGGGTGAAAACTCGAGAGGTTTATGTGTGCAATAGAATTTGTGCTACAAACCGCCTTTACGTCTGAAGACTAGGAGAAGACGGAGAAGTCCTGACCAGTAATTAATCTTTAGTCTAATAATGCAAAACCCAGTTAAAATGCCGCCGAGCTAAATGCCACACACTGAAATTTCGTGTAAATTAGCTCCCATCAAACACTTCTGTTAGCTATGCTATACATAGATATAATGAAGCTTGCTTATAATTACTAGAATGTTAAAAATGTTTTAAATGCACAAAGAAGAAAATTTAAGGTGGCACCCACCATTGGGTGCCATTGTCCCACGCGGCGCACATAGTGGCACCGGTGGGTGCCGTTGTCGTCAAAGAGTTAATGGAATGATGAACTTGTTATCACTTTTGCCTCCCCATATGGATGTTATTCTTCCAGAATTTCTATCTCTTGTTTGTTTGAACGTATTGTTTTATGGCACACCTCAGGATCGAGCCGGGGTGTTTAAGGCACGAATTTACGATGAAAAAGCAACCCATTTCAAATTAACCTAGGATGGTGAGTGGTACACGAAAGAAGGAAAAACCATGAGAAACGGCCCAGAACCCGAGAAATGGGACCCCTTCCTTGCCCGTTGATTTGCGCATTGATGCGACTCTCATCGCTGTGCCCTCTTCAACACTACGCTCTCTCTGCTATCTAATCACTCGCCACGTATAGACCTGCGGCGAGTGATTAGATAGTCGGTGGGCGTACCCCGCCAACCGCGCCAAGAGTGAGCCATGCTAGATCGCCGAGGTCAAATCTTTCGCTGCCAATTGCGCGTCGTCCGCACCCTCAGGAGGTCCGCCTGTCTCCCACTAGGCAATTTTCCCTTCTTCGACCTTCGATTCTTATCGTGGAATCCTCCTTTCCTCGAATATGAAAGTATTGGTGCAAGGTGGATCGGTAAAGAAAAAGTGAAAAGAAACCACTGACAACTCCGACAATTGCCTTTGAGTGTAGAGGGCTCTGAGAGAGAAACAACGAGGTAGGAGATGCTGAAGGTTGTTTAGAGGTGAAAGAAACTGTGAGAAGAGAACATGGATACGAGTAAGAGAGATATCGCCTATGACGTCAATCATTTCGGGATGAAACCCTGTGCGCTGACTGGAACCCCATGTGAAACCTAATGCCTTAGGGTTTTCGCTTGGCGATTTCGTGCCGTGAGGCCGGTACAACCTGCACGCTTGCTGGTCCCTCAACATTTCTCGCGCTAGGGCTTGACTTCTTCGAGCTAATCCTGGGTTGTGCCGAGAGTATATTTCACTGTAACTAGGAATCATCGTTGAATAAGTTACTATGAAGATTCATGTGTGCAAAAGGGTGAAATTAACACGTTGACGACCGCGCCATTTTTCGCTGTCTGGCGTGTGGGACCGCGCGAGTGTG